TGCCTCAAGATGGTTTCATTAAAAAAATAAATATTCTTTCATGGTTTAATGGTAGCAAACTCCAATGTTTAATGGAAAAATATGTATGCACCTCTTTTAATGTAATTAATATCGTCTTCACAGCAATTTCTTTGTAACATGAATACATTACTTTTTTATTACTTTATCATTTAATTTCTAGCATGTTTTTTCCAGTTACACTTCAGAAGTTTACAACCATTTCAGCGCAGATCATTGGCTAAGTGGAGACCTAGTTGCTAGTTAATGCCTTCAGTGCATTCTTCTATAGCATAATTTCCAAAACACTGCTGACAGAGTATCATCATTCTTGTTTAGCATTCCTCTAGCCTTGCAAATAGTGATACATTACATACTACAATGGTCATCAAAATTAAAAGATAATGACAGAAATAAAACGTAACTGACACTTAATGAAAAATTATTAATAGAAATTTGTACAAAAGCATTAGTTAACATAAATTACAATGTTTGACAGTTGATTATTTGAAAAATATTGAAATTAAAACTACATTTATGGAAACTGGAAAATGATAGAAAAATTAAGTCATCTCTTGTGGAAAGATTTTTCTTTAATAATAATATGTTTTATGGTCACCTTGGACAGATATGCATACTTCACATCTTGATTTCATAGACTTTATTAAAGTGTTGATAAAGTCATATGGAACTGAATTCTAAAAATGCACTTTTCAGCTCTTGGAGGGTCTGGAGATGAATTTGGTGCATTAAAATTTAATGCCATGGCATTCCATACAAGTTCAAGTTTGGTCAGTAAGATGTCCAATTCATTTCAGTGATATCTTCTGTTGGCAAGTATTCTGACATAATATATGCTCAATAAGAACGAGCATTGCCATCCATGAGCAAAAACTCTAGGTCAACGGCACCCTTAAAAAGCAACTAGGGATTCCAATACCTAAGTCACAGATCTCGAAGCAGTTACAGAGCCTCCTTGAAAGATATACTGCTCAGTGCAGCCATTTGTCCTAATTCCTCCCCAAATCATTATACTGCAGTTGCAGAAACGAGATACGAATAAACACGGACAAGGTAAGTTAAATGTGCTTTTCTCTTTCCAGATCAAAACACATCTACAATCCATGTTCAAATTATATATGGACTTCTCAGTAAACAATACTAGGGCACTTGACCACAGTAACAATACTCAGTTGTCTAAGCTCCAATAAACATGACAACGGCACCAGTTTAAAAGGGCCCATCTGGAAGCTGGAGTGAGTGGGACACAAACAATTTTGGCTTTCTCACATACAGTCCAACCTCGTGAAGCCTTCATGCAGCAGTAGAATGGCTAATTCAAGTTTCTGCGGCAGCTTGAAGGTCTAAACCAAATCAATTGTAGTTGTTCTGCAGTTTCTTCGAGCTGACAATAACAGAAGAAAACATTCTGCGGCAGCTTGAAGGTCTAAACCAAATCAATTGTAGTTGTTCTGCAGTTTCTTCGAGCTGACAATAACAGAAGAAAACATGTAGTTCTCATTCTTGGTTGCCCTTGACCTCATTGTCTATCAACTGATTCAGTGTTTAGAAAGCGGCTCCAAATTCCTGATACGACACTTTGAGGTATTTCAAATCTTTGACCACTTCCATTTGCAATCCCTTGATTCTACCAATTATTCGCCACTTTTTACTTTCACTTAAAGGATGCCTTTGAGCCATAATTACTGAATACTCATCCCTCTCAGAAACCACATTCACTTAAAACAACACTACAGACCAAAATTCCAATATGTGTCCATTGCGCACCACATTGTCAATTATCAAATTTGCATATTTCCAGTGTTAAAGTATGTGCAGAAGTGCAATTTTGTGTTCAATTGTGTTTAATTAACATTAATAATTACAGCCTGGGGCACTGATTGCAACACTAACTTAATGAATATATTTTTTCTCATTATCCTTTAATTTTGATGAGCAGTGTATTTTGAAAGAGGTTTAGAAAAATTTTTAATATATCAATTTATTATGCCAGTTTTGCTTTGAATTACTGATTAAATTTTGTCACAAAATTCAAATTAGAATGATTAAAGACTCCTACCATATTTATAATAATAGTAATGAACTTAAATTCTTACTATTGCACATGCAAAACTTATGTGAAATTGAAAGAGCAATCTACTTGCAAGCACTGCATAACACTGGCATAAAGAAAAACCTGTGGTTTTAGTTTTAAAATTTTAGCCTTTATAAGGCTGCAAACAGTGACTGATTTGCAAAACTAGAGGTTCGGGATAAAACCTTATACGGAAGACCTCCCCTTCCAGAAACATTTTTTCCTTTTTTTCAGTTCAGAAGTTATCACCAATACAAATTACATAGTATATTTCCCAAAATAATTAATAACTTAATATTTTTCATTGAAATTTAATTAAATAAATATATTTCATCTCTGTTGTACACTTTATGGTTTCAATTTGTCATGTATTATATGAGCTTACCCATTTTAAACCTGTATGTTGTTTTCTTAGAGATTAATAAAACTTAATTAAATCAGAAAGATAAGATGAAAACACTGCTATCATTTGGAATATCAATTTAATAATTACGTATATGAATAGAAAATAGAATAAAGTAATTCATGTTTTTCTCAATACTGAAGAAATCTTTTCTTCTGATGTACTTTTTTCCATCATGAAAGAGAAAATTGCCATCTCTGGCTAATGGACAAAATCAGGGCAGAGGGTAAGATGGTACACAGCACAGGACATATGATTATCAAATATATTATATTTCTATAAGAAAGGCGGCCAATTTTAATTTGCACGTAGGCAGCCAACAGTATAGGATCAGCACTGGAGACAATTTTTCGCTAATGATTACGATAATGACTTTTGAAACAAATAATTTTAAACTTACAGTATGGGTAGAAGATAATATAAAAGCATACCTTTAACACTTTTCCTCGAGTTAAGAAATGCTACTTACACTAAAGTCAAATTTTATGTGCCTTGTACCAGTAAAGTATTTCATGTCTCTCAAATAAACAATTAGCATACATGCCTGAAAGAACTATAAAATGCAAGACAAATATAATTTGAATGAAATCTGCTGTCATTTCCAGGCGTGTATAACTGGAAATATTATAAACAGCAGATAATTAGATAAGGAACTTAGAGGTTTTTAAATGAAGATACCAGACAGCATATGCACATGCATGTTATGGCAATGTGCTCAGAACATAATAAACAGAAGGTGGTTCTTTCAGGAGCCCCAATGCCCAATTTCCCCATTTTCATGAAGAAAAGCACGCTTATGAGCAATTATAAGATGACTTTGGGACTCCAGACCTGAGCCTTGTGAAGCTTAGTTGTAATCAGACGCTGAGTGTTACTTATTTATATAAAGGGTTCACATGTGCAGCAAAAACAGATCAGGAATCAGAGAACTACACAAACTCGGCAATATGCTTTGACTAATACCAAACTCCTTATTGTTTCATTTAGCAATTCTGCGGTAAAACACAGTATTCATTAAGAACTTTTAGTGCATTTTAGTGCAGTTTCTTTCACTGCTGGCAAAGTCCATAAGTGATGTATTAAAACTGAAATGAAAGGGAAAATATCACAGTTTGTTTATAAAAACCATTGGACACATTGAAATGCAACCAAAAAAAAAAAAAAAAAACCAGCAATGTTGCTTGACTGAAGGATAGTTATCCTGCTAAGGTGGCAGTGATAATATATAAGTACAGCAAACTCTAATGTTCAAGAGTTAATATGTTTCTTGTATGGTTAATTAAATGAATGTATTGTAATTAAATAAACTCACCTAATTCTATAACTGATAAAAAAATTAAATTTAAAAAAATAATAACAAGGAATAACAAAGGAAATTAAACAAATTAGAAATATTGCTTACAGATTCTAGAAAGAAATTTAAATGCAAGAATTCAACAATAAACAACTTTAATTATTAGTGCCCCAAAATAAGCATGTATATTTTCAAATACAGCAACTTATACAATATTTTACACATAAAGTGTTTTATTCATATTGTTATTTGTGATACTGAATTATGCATATAATTTCTAAATAATTTTGCAAAATATGGCTACTTTACATTTAAATTAAATAAAGACGCTAGAAAATATATGATTCTTTTAAGATTATTTAAGACTCTTAAAGTATTTCGCTCCATAAATCTATTGTAGCAATAGACACGGCCCCCTCCCAAAAAAAAATCAGCTTGATAATTTTGTATATATTACACTGCATAAAAGTGCATAATTCAATCAAAATTATGAAATCATTTCAGATGCAAGAATTAAGAAAATTCTTGTCTGAAGTAGCAACAACAATAAGTTAGCAAACTTAAATATTATTACATTTTTTTTTTTTTTTTTTTTTTTTTTTTTTTACAAAATTGAGGGTGTCAGAAAATTTTTCTTCATTTCTGTAGAAGAACAGTCCAAATATCGGTTACGTTTAAATAGATCTGAATAATAAACACAAATAAAAACAAATACATCAATAATAATAAAATAAAGCGTTGTTAATACATGCACTTCATATTGATTCATTTAGAAAGTTACGATCAGTCGCGCTTCATGATAGTCCTACCTACACCCTATATTAATTATGCCCAACCTTATTTCCATAACCCCTGATGTGATATCAGCATGATATACGGAACTTTCGAAAAGCCTGCTAATGAAGGTTGTAACGTTACTGCTGAATACTGAAAGGTTAGCGAACATTTTATGAAAATAAAATTTAAAAAAAAAAAATGTACGTAAAGCAACACAGAAATTCAAAGATGGAGAGCTGAATTTACATTATTTCTTTACAAAAATTCCAAAGATGTGTATAAATGTCAAAAGTTATTTAGCCTAAAATTAACTCTTTGATTATGGTTATATAAAAAAAATCACTGACAGCTGATATGACTGTAATAAAACATTTCTTCGAAGATAAGAGAATTTCTTAATATTATAAAATTCATAAATTTTGTCAAATACATACAAGATGTAAACAAACGTAGAGATGTTTATGCCGCTACTACTGTTGCCAAATTTCGATCATCTCCGAAACACTTGTTGCAGTTGTTTACAAATTGAAAGAGTTCGAGGCCATATAGTTAAACTGATCATATGTACCCTAGAATACTAACCTCCTTGATACGTACCGATTTGAAACGGATATAACAGCTTTTATTTATTTTATTTATTTTGGCATTTTCTGTTTCTATTTCATCTATGGTTGTGATAAAAATTCCAATTTTGTTTCGTTTTAACACAGGTTCGTTTTAACGCCTACGTGATGGATTTCTAGGAAAATAGAACATTTTTATTTTAGATAATAAATTAGTTGTATCTCTCATGCTACAGCCCACAGCCCCACAACACTGACTCGATTTCCTTTTATGCATACTTCTGTATTTATCAGAATAAAACAAAGAATTAAACACTTCTAAAATAAATTCACAACAGCAACGATACCAAACGCAGCAATACCGGAAACGGAATCTTCCTGGGTGTTCGGGATGTTAGTGCCCTCTTCGTTGAGCTTTGCAGGAAACTTCATATCGGTTAATAATTAAAATCAATAGATACGCTTTCTTCCCAGTCAATCATAATGTACTGTTCATAATTACAGCTGCGTATCCTGTGTAAAAGTATAATGCGCTTTGTTCCTATCTTATTTCTGAATAAAACTGTGCTGCTGAGTCAGGAGAAATATTTGGAGATACTTGCTTGGAAGCGTGTTCGCCATTTTTTGAGATACCCCCTACCAAACGTACATATCTAAACTGAAAAAGAGAGTATTTCAGATACAGAATAGATCTCTTAAACAATATTAAGTTCAGGAAATGGAAAGTGTTTATGGCAATTGGTATCAAAGAACAACTAAGTAGGTTAATAGATAAATTAATAGTATTAGTAGTATGTTAATAGAGTTAGTAGGTAAATAGATCAATTATTAGCAATCAGTAGATTAATAGATAAATTAATGAAGTATTTGAGGTAATTCAAAATTTCTATGAAACAATCCCAGATGATATCAGCAAGTGGAACTGCTATTTAGGAAACACTGAATAGTTTAACTGAAATCTGCTAAGGAAGTCTCTTGAAAGGAAAGAAGTTCAGAACAGTCTGACTGAAGAACTGAACATACTTACTGAATCAAGAGAAACTCCTGCATCTGATCAGTGAAATCACAGCTTGGTTTGTCATATCAAGTAGAGAATGTCTGTTTAGTATTACTGTCTAGTCCAGTGTTTTTAAGAGTATACTTCCTCAGAACAATGCTTTTCCTTAAAAAGAGAGAAAATTGTCGTTGCAGGTAATTAAAACGCGCTGTGGCTAAGATTCTAGACTGCCTCAATAGGACCGCAATCGCAGTGTTTTAAAATATGTAGTGATGAGGGAATTACTTGAGTGCAGTAACCAGAAATTCCTATACTAAATATCTAGGCACATATTCTTCTAAAGTGAATCTAAGTTATTTAGACTTCTAAGATTTTTGGTTATTGTAATATTCTGTCTTTATCTTCGAGGAAATATTGCACTTATTAAAGCAATATTTTCTACTAAAACAAGTACGCGGACAATTGAAAAATCCAAGCTGCTCTTGACGAAAGCCATGCTAGTTGTGAGATAAAAAGTCTGCTGTGAAATGCAGACTGTTTTATGGTAAAGAAAGGCAGAAGTCTGCTGTGTAACATAATTCCGTTAAAGAAATAATTCTCATATGATCTTCGCATTATACAGTCCATGTTTAATGTGGAGGGTCCTGCTACTGTAAAGTAAATACGAGATAAAAGTCGTTATGTAATAAAATCTTTTATATCCCTTTTTTCTATGATGATTAACTCTCATTCCGCTTTAGTGTTGTTCGGGGTCGGTGTTGGCTGTTACACTCTCTGTGACACCCGTTCCTCCTGTTGACCATTCATCTGACAAGTGTGGCCGTAGTTATTGTACTGGTTTTGGAGCCGACCATGCTGTTATTGAAATATTGCCTGTTTAGTCGTATCTGAAGCCAATGAAAGTTAAAGGCGAGCAGGGGCGTAGCTAGAGTTTCCAGCGTCCGGGGACAACTGAAGAATTTGCGCTCCTTTGTGTGTGCCAAGAATGGAAAATATTTCATTAAAAAATTTTGTAGCCTCAATTTGGCGCCCCTTGGATACTGCACCCGGGAACAGATGTCCCTCCTTGCCCCACCCTGGCTACGCCACTGAAAGCGAGAAATTATAAACTATAACTTAAATGTTTCTGATACATCTGTTGTACCAAAAAATTATTTCCTTTAAAGCCGGCTATGGTACAACTGTCGTACCAGTATTTTCCTTTCCCTCATTAGAGAATTTCTCATCTTTTACTGCTTTAGCTGACAAAAAGATCTCTGGGTGGTCCGCGGTCTTTGTTCTTGGTAGCCGCTGGCGTAACATTGTTCCCTATTCTTAATAGTGTGGCTTTATATTGGCAAGGACTAACGATTTTATATTGCGCCAATGTAGTGAAAAATCAAGTAGAGATATTTCATTACTAAAACATCAGAACCCAGTGTAACGTTTTCATGTGACTATATATATATATGTAAGATAAAATTATATGAATCAGAATTATAATATAATTATAAACATTAATTCTTCCTCTCTATTCTAAAATCGTAATAACTTCTCTGCATTGCGTCATTTCTAGATCACTCTATGGCCCGCGCAGCTCTGATGACGTAATAATTGTAAACCAAAACTTTTCTCTTCGCCGTGCTTCCATCTTTCATAACTACGCACTTCAGCTTTTGCTCTCTACTGTGCTAAGATGTAATTTCGCTGGCTTGCTTTCTCTTTCAACAATATCAAAAATGTAAATCTTCTGTGGAAAGGCACGACTAGAGTACCAAGTGATTGTGGCCACAAATATCAGTTGGAAATAAAAATGGAATTAAAACTGCCTCGACTGCCAAGTTCTTTAGATATTACCAAGTTAGCATTACTAGCATACTACGCAATCATAATCTTCTTTAATATGGGGTCTAATCACGCATTTACAGTGTTCCGTCTTTTCCTTTGCTTTTATTATATCAATTAAGCCAGTAGGATAGTTTCCTGCAGCCTGAAACCTCAATTGAAAATTTAGTTCAGTTCTTCAAATCATCGTTTTGTGATAAATCCAAGATAATGTGAAAGAAGTGAATCACCAAATTTGTTTTTTCAGTGTTTAAAAAATAACACATCATTCTTCTGCTGTGGTGTTTTGCAAGTGCTTCAAAAAAAAATAATAATCACGCGTAGTGTTTACAGATTGAAAGTAATCTTTCGATAAATTGAGAAGTTCGAATGCCTAGTGGAAAGGAAATCATCAGTGAATTACTGTTGAGGAATTAAGCATTACAGCGGGTTCAAGGTCGATCTGAGTTAGTGTTTGCAAGTATGTGCGACAGAAAATTATTTTTCACTTCCGCTTTTTCAACAGCTCAAAAATTATTACATTCGTGTGAATCTAGCTCAGGAACTAAATTATTTAATGTGCTGCGGATTCTATAATTTTCATTTCAACTTTGGTTAAAACTTCTGAAATTTGTTTTGAGAAAATCTGAAATTCTTGTTCATTAATTTTTCTAATTTTTCATAATTATGTGTGAGCAAATTAAGTAACGAATTTTAAGCTATTTAAATTATTCATAGGGAAGGATATTAAGATAAGTTTTATGTTTTTGAAATTTTGTTGAGAATTTTGAATACGAATTTTATAATTATTCTAAAAATAAAGTAGATGTAAAAATAAGTGAAAATTAGTACAGATAAGTAATACGAAAATTATGGTAAATGCATGTTAAAATTTATGGGTTATTGTGTGTTAAGTATAGTATGATGAGGGTGTACTGGTTCCTTCAATAGAGGCCTGTAATTACCTCTGTACAGTTGTTCTTTTACACTCTTCATGCAAAATAATGTTGGAGGTTCTCATTTTATGAGTGTGTTGAATTGTGTTTTTTCTATTATTATTATTATTATTATATTTTTTATTATGGAATGTATTAGTGCAGTTCGCGAAGGCCAGTTACCTTATGCAAGGAACGGAGGCCTTTCAAGTAACCGTCTAGGCACCCTGGGGGCCACCAGTGCAGAGAACACACTGGTTAGCTCAAGAGGACAGCCTATTGATGGATATGTTTGTTTAGAAGTATTGCGAGGCTTCCAGTTTGGTAAAATCTGCAATTGTAAATGAAAGATGATAACGGTGAAACCATAAATTCTGAAAATCTTAATCCTATTATTTATGATGTTTAAATTATAACTTATCAGTATGGAAATAAGTATCATACATATTTATGTGCATTACATTTAAAATTATAAGTAATGATTATATAAAAGTTTATTTGTGATATTCTGTGATAACAAGAACATTCCCTGAAGAATTATGATTATGTGAACTCTCAGACAAAAAGACTTTTGGACTGAAATGCTGAAAAATTCAATAGGACTCTAAAAATTAAAAATTGATATTATAATTATACTTTACAGGAAAAAAATTTA